ACGAGAGAGGTCACATTGTGTCACAAGAATCTGAAAGAATTGAACCAGATTCTGGTTGCTGAACAGGCTCTAAGGGATGCTAACTTGGTTGAGTTGAGAAGTGGGATGTTAGTAAAAACAGACTTAAAGTGGTGAACATAACAGAGAGAAGTGGGGTGTTGGTAAAAACAACCTTAGAGTGGTGTGAACATGACAGAGAGAAGTGGGATGTTGGTGAAAACAGACTTAGAGTGGTGAAAATGGCAGATAGAAGTGGGGTATTGGTGAGAACAAACTTAGATGAGTTTTGAGGGGAAAAAAAAGCAATGTACAAAATGATGAGAAAACTGCACCAGAAAAAACAAGTTTTTTTCTTGAAACTGGGACCCCAGATACCCCGTGACACTGGTCAGATATGTTTGAGCCATGTGACAAGGCTAAAAGATTTTTCAACAGTGTGACATGCTTAGAATATATCTGATTGATGTCACACCACTGAAACATTTCTGGCCAGTTAGACTTGGCTCAAACATTTCTTACCAGTCTGACACACTTCAAACATTTCTTACCAGTCTGAACCCCTTCAAATATTTCTGACCACTTTCACTTGACTAGGATATTTTTGAACACAATTTATTTACCCAAACATTTCTGGTCACAATATTACAGGTCAAATATTTTCTACCCAATCCAATATTATATTTTCTCCCAAAGGCAAAAAAATAAATGGCCACACAACCTATTAGCCTGGATACATTCTTACATTTTACAAGGCTAATAGCTTGTTCAAGGTGGGTGACTGAAGTGAATCACTCGCAAACAAGATTTGTGAAACATTGACCTGAACTTATTTATGCAAAACCCTGTAATTGCAGAACCATTCTAAAATGACAATGGATGTAGACAAATACAAATAAACAGTCCACAATCCAAAACATTCAACATTTTCAATGTATTTTTGACACTCATGATCATGTTTGTATGACCATGGTTTGAAAATATTACAAATATATGTATAGATTCTACCAAATACTTCCAAATATGTATATACCCTTCATCACATGTTGTTGCTTACTCATCTCTTTGGGGCTAAAGTAAAGAATTCTCTGTAGCTCTGCGAACTCTGGTCCAAATGACATGGTTTTTTTTGAGCAGTATGCACCCCTTAATTGCAGAACTGTTTTAAAATGATAATGGATGTATACAAATACAAATAAATAGATCATAATCCAAAACATTCAACATTTTCAATGTCTACTTTATGTTCATAATCATAGTTTACTTCTATGAAATACTTCCAAATATATACATACCCTTCATCACATGTCATCACTTAATCATCTCTTTGAGCTGAAATAAAGATTTCTCCACAGCTCTGCCAACTCTGGTCCAAACGACATGGTTTTTCTTGCAGTATGGACTCCTTATTTTTAGAATTATTCTAAAGTGACAATGAGTGAAGACAAATACAAATAAATAGTTTGAAAAATGAAATGTTCCACACTGTTGATGTTTAATTGATGTTCATAGTTTAAAAAGTTTCAGTATATCTACAAATTCTACCAAATACTTCCAAACAGATATATACCAGTCTTTACATACTACTGATTAGTCATTTATCTATCCTAAAAAGGCTTTTATGTAGCTCATCCAATTCTGGTTCAAATGACATGATCTTTTTTACAATATATAGATCTGATATGTGGTACTATAGAATAACATTTGATTATAAATAAATACAAATAATTAGTCATACAATAAAATGTGTAAAACAATTAACTTATCATGACTATGTATTACTTATCAAAAGTATATATAGTCTATGAGGCTAGATTTATTTGAAAAAATGGTATCAACCCAAAAATAGCTAAAGAATAGTAGAGCAATCAGAAAAGGTTGGAGGATGTCCTTACCAGTAGTAATAACATTATATATTGTGTTTACAGTCCAGAGTGGACTTCCAAATATGGTAATCTATGGGAAAATAGTCATAAAATAGCACAAATTTCAGAGAAAATTGGAGGATATTGCTTTACTGTCAGTGATAATGTTATGCAACAGTTAGTTAATATAGTACTCAATCTACATATTACTATAAAATGAGCAAAAATTGGGAAAAACATAGAAATGTTTCTTATCATTGTGGAACCAATACTTGACATAGTGATCACTCAGGTAGTGGGACAGTCATTGGAATGCCTAGTGGACTACAATGATCAAAGGTGTGAGGACTCACCAAGTTGGTCTAAACAGCTTAGTTGCATGCTCAGAATCATAGAATGTGACTGTTCAGCACTGTCATACTCTGATCTCCACAAACAGTCCCAGTGGAGATTGTGACAATGAAGTTTTTGATGTCTGACTGCTGATCTCTCAAAGCTTGAAGTATAGCTGTTGGTAGGGCTTGAATATCCAAGTGATATAAGAGGTACAAGTGGTGGCAAGAAGATATCATTTCTTTATGTACACAAGGTAAAATACAGTGATTACATAAAGCGTAATGTGTGGTGATACAAAGAATGAAGAGTGGGCATATGGGTCAATCAATGGAGGCAAGTCTCAGGAGGTGGAAAGGGTAGATAGGTAGGATAGGTAGGATACTTACTAGCATGCTACACCTTGATGATGATGCTAGGGTACCCTGTTTACAGTCTACTATTTTTCTGTTTATGGTAAAATATTCCCACAGTCCTGTTTGCATATATCTCAGGAAAGAGGATGGTTAGTTATATTTTGTGACCTATAATAGCATGCTCTATATATTTGTGATGAATTTCCTTTTTTGGGTTAAAATTCCCACAGTATCAGAAGCACAGCCTCTCACTTAGCTCCATAAACAACAATTGTATGCTACACCTTGATGATGATGCTAGGGTACCCTGTTTACAGTCTACTATTTTTCTGTTTATGGTAAAATATTCCCACAGTCCTGTTTGCATATATCTCAGGAAAGAGGATGGTTAGTTATATTTTGTGACCTATAATAGCATGCTCTATATATTTGTGATGAATTTCCTTTTTTGGGTTAAAATTCCCACAGTATCAGAAGCACAGCCTCTCACTTAGCTCCATAAACAACAATTGTAGCCCCTTTCCTTACCTTTATATATATATATATATAATGTCATGCAGACCATTCCTCATTGAGAAAAACACAAAATACTGAAAAAATTGGACACTTTTTGGAAATTGTCATGCATTTTTGACCAATATCTCAAAGAGCAAGAAAGCTGGTCTCAAGATATAGTCACATTGCATGATATGACAATATTTTTACATAGTTGTCTTGATTTTCCATATTTGGATATGGACCCTGAATACTGGACACAGCCCCTTCAACACCATGGCAACAGAGAAGATCACTCTTAATTTTTGGGTATTTTTTTCTGATTTTCTGGCAACTTTTAGGTGTTTTCTATATTTAGATATTGATCCTGAACCCTGAACACAGCCTCCCCACCTTACTAAGCAATATTCCGATTTTTTACATATTTTTTGCTGATTTCTTTTGCCATTTTTCCTGATTTTATGGCTGCTTTTCTGTTTAAGGGAAAAGGTTCCCACAGTGATGAAAGGTAAATCAATCAATCAATCAATGAATGAAAAATTTGCCTAAGTTCTCAGTTGATAAAGAATGAGTCTTACTCATAAACACATAAGGACTCATAATTGATCCATTCCTCTCCTTTCTTGACATTCAAGGCCCCAGTGTTTGAATCCACCTCTGTCTGATCATATAATGGTCTGGGAAAGCTAGCTTTACATTTTCCCTGTTTATTCATACATGTAGGTCTATCCCTTTTTGCAGCCTTTTCACTAGCTGATTTGTTCCTTCCACAATCATGTACATTAGACCTCAGAATCAGATCATCTACTGTCTTTGCATATTCTTGCCACTTGTGCAAGAGGGCCATTGCAAGCATGGCGGATAAGAGTCCTTTTCATATTCAGGAAGCTACAATGCAGTACCACAACATTCACATTTTTGATTATTTAGGAAACTAGTCATGTGACCACCTCCTGAAAGCCCATCAGATTTATACCCATTAACTATATATTATTGCTATTTTACATTGGACAAAGTGTATATTTCCATTTACCTACAGAGAGTCCCTACATTGAAAGCAACAATGAGTACTATCCTCCATTTTTCTTTAATTTTTTCCAGTCCTTTATAGTTAATTTCAAGTAGATGACTACATATGGAAAGTTCTCCTGGACTCTGACCATGCTCCCCAATATTGCACAAATAGTAACTTTCCTTCAATTTCTTATTGCTACTTTTAACTCAAAAAGTGCACATAACCTCAGTTGAAAATATGCCATGTAACTTTGTCATCAATAGTGCACATTGTCCCCCATTTGTTTCTGATCTGTCTTCTATTTTTATTGCTATATTTCCTTTCAGAAAATGTTCAACAACATTATGCTACATCATCAAACCATCAATTTTTATGGGAGAAAGACAAGATTTAGTGTTAGAGGTAGAAAAAAAATCCTTGAGATCAGAGGGTAATGAACTAGTGTTTTTATAAACTCAGAGGACTCATAACATTATTGCTGACAATGAGCACCATATTCCAATTTTCTGGCAATTGTTAGATAAATTTCCATTTAAAAAATGCACCTGGGATCCTTGAAACAGTCCTAACATCAGCACCAACAGTTAGCACCATTCTTCAATTGTTTCTCAAACTTTCTGCCATTTATTGCTATTTTTCAGTTGGACAAATGCTGAGTGCCATATATGGAAATTTACCATGGACCCTGAAAGTGTTTCCAAATGTTGTCACCAACAGTGAGCACCATCAGTCATTTTCTTCTGATTTTTGTGCTCATTCATTGCTATTTCTTCATTGAAAAGGCTTGCATTAACTTGATTTGTGCAAATATATGTCTATTTGTGCATATGGATTTTATTACATAATATACATAAAAACAGACTATATTTTTTTCTTGGTGTTTTATTTCATTCAATTTAGATTTTATGTTGGTGAGCTTCAGACTCTTCTTTATATAAGTATGTTTATTCGGACTTTGACCTTATTACATAATATGTCTCAATGAATTGCATACAATCATGATCCATGAAATTTTACATTTTTTGTGCATTTTATTTCATCTGAATTGGACTTGATTTGGTAAAGTTACACATTTTTCTTTAGGCAATGCTGGAACTCAAGAAGCGATGATGCATGAACATTTCCCAATTGTTTGATGGGGGACAGTTTCATGTGTCATAATAGATCTCAGATCAGTTACCATTTTCAGTAATAAATAAAGATTCATGTATAACTCAGTGAGTTTTGATCCAAATGACATGATTTCTTTTGTAATGGGTACTCCTCATTTCCGTGGTCATGGTGATGAACAAACACAAATAAACAGTTGAAAAAACGAAAACGATCATGAATTGTAGATCTATTTAATGCTGATCAATGAAATATTGTTGACATAGAGCTAAAAACAATGTCAAATATTGAAAAATAAGTTGAAATCATTCCAATAGTAATTTTTAGAGGTTATAGGGTGCAAAGAGTGTGTAATTGAGCTATAGCATGTATTTCTGATACTTTTGAAGTGGATGACATGATCTATTTCCTTTTTAAACAATCTTTCCCACAATCTAAAAATGCAGGGGAGGCAGATCTCAGGGGGTACATCTTAGATCTCATCTCTTGTAATAGGTGTCCTGTGAGGCACAGTAGGAGTGGGTGGTCGAAGCAACAACGTGGGGTCTGGCGAACATGGATGTCTATTCTATTATGTAGGTGTGGAGACTAATTGTACTTTGTACAGCTTGGTCTTCTTGATTCATGAACTCTTAGCGGAGGTCACTGGTGCTTTGGATATCCGTTGTGCGACCTCTGCTCCTCCTCAGGAAGTCCTTAAGGAAGTAGAGTTCGAGAAGGAAGGTAGTTGAATATTTGAATACCTCTAGGAGAATATTCAATGATCTCACAAACTTGGATCACTTACTTTGACTTTAAAGGAGGATGTGATACGACGCGGCCACTCAATGAGTGAACGTAGCTGTGGTACAATGAATAGAAAAAGATGTCACTACTACACGTGTGCTAGTGTGACTAATGTGAGTTGAATTGTGACAGTCATTATGTAAGCAAAATAAAACAGTCCAAAGAAGAGAGCAAGGTGTAACATTGTAAGGGGGAAATTACCTAGGAGACTTGTACAGGTACTGGACATATTGTAACATAGGATTCAACCTGTACTTTACCCTCCCACATGAGTTCCGGCGGAATCTGGTGGAGTGTTGGAATTCCAACAGATTCCAAGTGGAATTCCAACACATTCCAACTTCATTCCAACACATTCCAACTTCAATCCCTGAATAACCAATATTTATCACTCCTCCACTCATTACCTAACCACTTTGTGTAACTTAGACCTTAGAATTTCA